AACGTATTCTGAATACTTTGGATTACTTAATATGTTATCATGCTTTTTACAACTACATGAATGTACTATTGCTGTGTGATTTATTACTATTATTGAAGGTCCACGGCTCCGAACCGTAGTAAAGGGACCTCTGACTAATACGTCGGGTTTGTGTCGGGCTCGTAGCCGAAAAATAGCTTTACTTTGTTGTCTGGGTCAAGTTTGAGACAGAGAGAGGCGTTGAAAGGCTGCTGCAACGGAACTTATTGTTCCGGAGGAAAACAGGAACACGGTGTACAGTCGAGTCTTAATAGCTTACTTACAACTGGGCTGTCAGGCACTCTTCTTGGCTGCAGTGGTTATTTGTGTGGATGCTTTAAGCATCCACACTATTGAGTTCCTTCTTGATGTTTCCGTACACTTTTCGCCGTGGATCTACTTCCACAATTTTTGTGCTATTTTCACCGTTCAAATTTTAAACTATTCTGCTATTTCTGCTAATGACGGCTATGTCTTTTGGTATTTTTCACTATTATACTTTTTAAAATATTAAGCTTTTTTCCTTTAATTTGAAATGAATGGGAAACTTCTGCAATTCTGGTAAAATTTTCTTGTTTTTGAAATATAACTACTTCCTCATATTTTCACCTAGAACAACCATTCAAACTTTAAAATGTTCTCAAATTATTGGGCTATTCAGGTATAAATCAGCTTTTTCAAATCTTTTACCGTTTTACTTTTATGCCTCTTAAAGTCTTGAGTTGCAAAATTGTGATTTTTCACAAAATACATGCGTTGTTATGGTTGCTATGCTCTTGGCTTCCATTGTGCCACTGAAGGTTTTGCAGTCTTCTCTTCATGTCCGAACAACTGTTTGCTACTTGCTCAATTTTCACTCAACTTCCACAAATTATACATCAAAAAGTAGGTATTTTTGCTGGCTTTCAGAAAATGTCACTATCATTGTTGTGGGATTTATAGAATTTTGGCAAATCTCCTCAGACCAACACAAAGTCGGAAAACTCTCCATATAAAGTCAATGGAGTTTGTTCAAAATCACCGCTGCATTTCTGTAATGAGAGGCATTTTCGAATCGTCATATCTCCTTAACGAAGCGAAGTTAAAACATGAGGCTTGTCCCCGTATATCTTCAGACACTCCTGACGCTCACAATTCAAGAATTTCTTTCTCACCTATTACCGTTCTGAAATGAGTTGGACTTGTTTGAGAGTAGGAAATTCGTCCTTCGCTCAGATTTCAAACTCTGGAAATGAACCACTTTTTTCTTTCATCATAACTTTTTGTTGGATTTCCACAGCGACCTGAAAATTTTCATGACTGTTCACCAAAGCCTGCTGTCTCTTACGGTGAAAGAATGATATCGATACGCCAAATAGACTTAGAGTTACAAAGCGTTTTTTGAGGGCAAGTCAAGGCAGTTTTTGCTTCGCTCTACTCAGTTATGGTGCATTAGAAGTCAAATATCTTTAATAATTCATATTTCAATGATAAATTGTCAACACTGGAAGATTCCCCCATCTCTTCTGAACAAAACGGTGTAAGAATGACCGCTCTAGCCCCTACGGTTAGGAAATTATAGTCATTTGTTTGAGGGGAGTCCTCACTATGAGAAATAGACTGCAAAAATCCTGTCTCTCTGTGCTGCATGCACCTGTTTTGGCGGGAAAAAGTACACAGCCTCTCTAATTGGTGGATTCAAATTCAGCAGCTCCCAGGCTGACCTAGAAACTCACTTCTCTCTCCCTGTGTGTGTGTGTGTGTGTGTGTGTGTGTGTGTGTGTGTGTGTGTGTGTGTGTGACAGAGAGAGAGAGAGAGAGAAAGCCTTTTAATGGGATGATCTCATTGTAAGATTTAAATTCAATATATGTAGACTGGTTGACTGAATTGGATCTTGTGTGTGTGTGTCTCTGTGCATGTGTGTTTCCTTATGTGTACATATTTGTGATTGTGTGGCTATTATATTTTTTTTTGCTGATTTTTTTCATTTAACAAGTATATTTGACGGACCCTCAGCATGTTCAGCATTTTTTCAGCTGTCCATTTTGCTTTTCCAATTTTTCTGTTTAAGTTATTACTGTTGTGCTAAATCATACTATTTCTGCTATTTTATAAGATTTGTGCTAAATATAGTATTTCTGCCAAATATAGTATTTCTGAATAATTATAGTTTTTCTACCAAATCATAGTATAGTATTTTTGCTTTTTATAGGATTTTTATAGGATATTTATATTGCTTAATATAGTATTTCTGCTTTTTATAGTATTTGTGCTAAAACATAGTATTTCTAGTAAATGTAGTATTTATGCTTAATCATACTATTTCTATATATTACTGCCAGGTCCCCAGGCAGCCAATCCTCTGTGAGGCCTGAGACATTCAAATTTACATATCAGGGCGTGCACGGCTTCCCAGCCAGCCAATCATATCTTAGGAATGAGACATTCAAATCTACAAATCAGGGCCTGCACGGCTTCCCAGCCAGCCAATCATATATGTGGGCTGAGGCATTCAGATTTGCATATTGGGGTCTTCGTGGCTTCTAAACCAACCCGTCATCCATGTCATATATCTCTAAAAATTCATATTTTAATGATAAATTGTCAACACTTGACGATTTCCCCATCTCTTCTGAACAAAACGATCTAAGAACGACCGCTCTAACCCCAACAGTTAGGTAATTATGGCCATTTGTTTGAGGGGAATCCTCACTATGAGAAATAGACTACAAAAATCCTGTTTCTCTGTGCTGCGTGTGTACACCTGTTTTGGCGGGGAAAAGTACACAGCCTCTCTGATTGGTGGATTCAAATTCAGCAGCTCTGAGGCTGCTTGACTGACCTAGAAACTTGCTTCTCTCTCCCTGTGTGTGTGTGTGTGTGTGTGTGTGTGTGTGTGTGTGTGTGTGTGTGTGTGTGTGTGTGTGTGTGTGTGTGAGTGAGTGAGTGAGTGAGTGAGAGAGAGAGAGAGAAAGACCCTCTTTAGGGCAGCATCTCATAGTTTGATAAAAATATAATATATTCAGAATGGCTGACTGGCATAGACCCTGTGTGTGTGTCTCTCTCTTTACATTTCTGAATTTCTTTTTTTTCTTTTTTTCTTTTTTTATTTCTTGTCATTTTACTTTTCCAGTATTTTCACTTAAGTTATTACTGTTCTGCTCAATAGTATTTGTTCTAAATCATTGTTATTATGCTATATTGTAGTATTTCTGCTAAATCATAGTATTTCTACTATATTATATTTTTCTTTCTAAATATAGCATTTCTGCTATATAATTGTATTTCTGCTATGTTGTAATATTTTTGCTAAACTAGAGTATTTGTGCTGAAACAGTATTAATTTAAAATTACAATATTCATAGTTCATCACAGTGTCTCTGGTAAATCACAGTATTTCTGCTATGTTGTACTATTTTTCTAAATCATAGTGTTTCCGTAATGTTTAAGTATTTTTGGCTAAATATATATTCTTTCTGTTATCTTATACTATTTCTCCTAAATTCTTGTATTTTTGAGAAGTTATCATGTTTCTAGCAAGTTACAATATTTCTGCTAAGTTCTGCTATGCTATTGTATTTCTGCCAGGTATTATGTTTCCTCTAAGATATTGCAGTTCTGCAAAGTTATTACATTTTAGCAAAGTTCTTTTGCTTCTGCAAAGTTTTTACAATTTCTGCAACTTTTCAGCTTTTTCAGCTAGGTTTTGCATACAGCTTCAGCTTTAAAGCATCCACACTGCATTTTCGCAGGAAATGCAAATTTTTCTAGTTATATTTACATGCTTCCAGCTCCCCTTTCTGCTGGATGACAGCTCCTACTTTCCCACTCTCTTTTTTTCTCCCTCCTCGCGCTCACAGACACATAACGGGTACAGTGTTGCCAACTCCTCAGTAAGGAAAATCGCTATTGGCTGTTCTAAAAGTTGCTAGAAGTCGCTAAATGATGTCATCGCCTAATTTGCATAATTGGTCATGCTAATCTAATTGTAACCTATGTTGTTGGAGAGAGAAATAACATCGTGGAAGAGACATAAAGTGAGTAAAAAACGTCCTAAATGCATTTAGAGTTTATTTAGAACTACAAATTAAATTTCTTTTAGCAATTATTGTTTTTTTTAAATGTCACAATTCCAACCCTGCTCCTTTACCTGGGCTTGGACCGCAAAAGTGACCCGAAGTAGGCACTCTGGTGGAGTTACTTTGTGTGTGTGTGTTTACAAGTAGTTTTAAACCTTGTGATCCACAAAACAGCATAAGAGTAAAAGAGTAAAAGAAGAACTGACTGCGTTACAGCACCCGCTGCTTGTTGAGAGTAAAAGCGATACGTGCTTGTACGTCTTTTTTTAGCGACTTTTTTTTAGAAAAAAAAGTCGCTAAGAGGTCTGAAAACTCGCTAAATATAGCGACAAAGTCGCTAAATTGGCAACACTGAACGGGTATGGCAGTCCATTCTCCCAGCAGCACGGACTACACTGCCCAAGAGGCTACATTCTTTAGGGCTATGCCTGTAGTATTCTGTGTAGCTTAGCACAACAACAACGAAAAGGCGCTCTCTCACCCAGGAAACGCACAGTCTCAGAGAGAGCGCGTCACCCTGTAACCATGGCAACCGTAAAGCTGCCGCCTGGAACAACAGAACATAGCTGTCAAACAAAACCCAAACAGTCCTGACCCGCGACAATATGAAACAGGAAAATACTGCCGTGTAATCCATTTATTTCAATAAATTAACTGTATTCTAAATACCACCTTTTAAAACCGTAACTGTAACGGAATACAGTTACTCATATTTTGTATTTTAAATACGTAACAGCGGTACATGTATTCCGTTACTCCCCAACACTGTTTACAAATGACTCAGTGTCTTTTTTTTTGGAATTCGACTAGCTTTAATTAATATTATTTTTTACATTACTATTACACCGCTGTTTTCACTCCGTTGGGCTGTAGCTCTGCTCTGAGTCGACATAATGACACACGACACCAGAATAAATCAGGTTAAGGTGAGTAAAAGATTTATTTCACATTTTGTTAAATATCACCAGCTTTGTATGAGGAATCAAGGACATCAAAGAGCAGGTCACAGGAATAGTTAAGAAGGCTCATATGCACAGAGGGACAAAGGAAGGGGGGGTATCTCCAGAAAAACCCCATAATGAATAACGCTGCATCACGTCTGCTGATGGTTTGTTGTGAGTGCTGTAGTTTTTTGTTGTTGTTTTTCTACAGGGTGGATGGAATTTGCTGGCTTTGTTTGTTCAGCCAACCATAAACTCAAACACTTTTAGTGATGGTTCAAAAAGTGACATTATTATTCAATCATTACTTCTAGAACTGCACATAAAACCTGCACTGGGACTGAGGGTCAGACGGGAGAGGGACACCACAACGAGGGAAGAAGCGCTGCAGGGACAACACGAAGCACACACGGACACAGAGATAAGCAGAGGGATCACCTCAACAGTCTGAGCTCTGATGCTGTGTTTTTACACCCGGCTTTACCTGAGTCAGGTTTTCAGTGAGGACATAACTCAGGTAAGGGGAACTTACCAGAGGGAAAGAGGGATGAGGGCTGAGAGTGTCAGAGTCACAGGCACTTGCGATAAAATGACAAAAACGCTATGATTTCCATTAAGGCACAACAGATAAACTACACTCACAAACATCTTTGGGACAAGAACAGCATGATTCTTGTAGTGGACAGGTTGGCTTTTACATCTACACCCCCGACAAATGATTTTACCCGGTCAAATGATTGCTGACGACACTGACGACATCCCCTTTGTAGCCTTGATGATAAGTTTTGACACCTCAGCATATATCAATAAAGTTGTGGTTTGAAGACAATCAGAACAGTTTCTGGGTTTTTCTAAGTCTAGTTGCACAGGGAGAGACCACCCGCACTAACTTATGATGCACACCAGTCGTTTTGTTCTATAAGCCTGAAGCATTCAAGGTCACTCCTGGTCGATTTATACAAGCGGGTAAAGAGTTAAAACAACAAGTAACTATAACTGAGAAGTGTTTAATTATCCTTTATAATACGGTAATCATTATTGTCACCATTAGTTTAAGGATTTCTTATTAAATTTATGGGTTCAGCATTTAGACTGGCACCGTCTTAATTTTTGGTGGCCATATTTGGTAGCCCGTGTTTGCTGATACCTAAGACTTACTATAGTTTAAACAGAGGATTTATATTAAAGGAGTTACCATGAAGGAGACAATTAGCTATACGAATTCAGTAATTTCATATTAGGGCACATAATTTGCACTTTGGGATTTAAATAAAATTAAAATTTAAGAGAAACAACATTGCCCATTTCACGCAGTACCAACTCACTTTAGGTGCTCTTTTCTCTTCTGAAGTCACTGGATTTCGTCAAACAGCTACGGCTGCTTGGCCAGAATAAATTGGCACCTAAAATAGGCAGCGGTAATTAGACACACAGTGGAAACTCATGCACACGCGCTCGCAACTTTGTACAGAAACTTTGATGACCACACGCTCACGAACGCATGCTCACCGAAGCATGCGACACAGACGAGGCTCATACACACAGTAAGCATGGCGACTTTTATAAACTCACATATAATCGACACAGTGGATTTCATTGGCATTGTATGGGATAGTAATAGTGACAGAGAAGGTTTCCCCTTACGAACTGATTCTGATCTTTTTTCCTTCATTGGTTTCACAATCTGAGTCTGCATGTTTTAAACTGAAGTTAGGCTTTCGTCCCTCCTCTCAAACACCTTTCAGTCAGCCCTTCTCACCTGCTTCATTCTCTCTTTCGTTTGTGGACAGAGTAACAGTGTGTTAGTGTTTTTGCATGAGCTGAGCAGTCCTTCTCACATCACGGTGTTTCTCAAAAAACAATGTATACCCTATGTAGGTCACTACTCTGTAGTTTGGGCCCATAAAGCACTAGAAGTACACAAGTGTCTATTGAGACGTGTTCCCTTGAGATGTGGAGGAGTGAGACGACAGGGTGGTTTAACTCCGGGGGATGATGCCCTTCTTGTAGGCCACCAAGCCAGCTGCGGCGGCAGCAGACAGGAATGTGGAGACTCCTAAGAATTTGAGGAAACCATCAACCGAAGGCAGGTTTCTCTCCCAGAAGGTGGTAACAAACGGGAGTGCCCGGATTTCCTGCAGGACGGAGGGAATGATGATATCAGATATCTGCCTTTTTCATGTGCATGATATTAACTAGATACTTGATAGATGATTTGGCAATATACAACTTATGTAATCTTGGGTCCAAAATGTGTAAACAATGCATAGGTGTCTTAAACCTGCATTTTTTTACATGACCAGCAGGGGGCAACTCTTCTGCTTGAAAATGATTGTATAGAAAGCGAGGGAGAAAATGACCTCTCTTGGTTTACAACCCCAAGAAACATTATGGTCTTGCCTGGTAGTTTTTTTCTCATTTATTACAAGATGATCTTTTTCACAGTGTCATTTATGGTAAAAAGTGTTTTGGATTCATGACGAGAGACTTCAGAGTGTTTCTCCACTGATTGTTCATTTTTTTAATCAAAGGCCAACTTGTAATTTGGTGCATAAGGACTTCTCTTACATCGTTCTCAGGCTCAGGTTGCCAGATCTGATTAGGTTGGAGTTTACCCATCGCACACATGACCTGCGAAAAGACATTGGTGGTGTCAGTCAAAGACTTCAAAAGGATCAAAATACAGTCTAACAGTCTAAATTTTAAACATGATACACATTTTTGAGTTTGGGTGATGTTAATAAGATAACTCTTTATTATCATTGCACAGTCATACATAGTACAATAGCACAATGAAATTGGGGAACTGTCCCACGTTGGCACTACATACAACACGACACGACACAGCAACTTAACTTAAGTAATAAAAAGAAGAATAAGTGTATGTTTATGTTTAATGCACTCAGATAATCTACTCAGGCTTGACTGGCCTTTACTGCAACTGACCTACTCTGCAGCAGAGCCAGAGCTAAGAAACATGGAGGAACATGAACACATGGGGGAGTATCTTAGGAAACCAAACCTAATGTTAATGCCTTGGAAGAAGGACATAAAGTGCAAGCAGCAGGCGAGTGTCTTAAAGAGAGATTTAGAAGACTGAGTGGGGAGGACCATTTTGATTCTATGGTTTGTTTCAGTCAGCTGTGCTCAGACATAAATGAGAGGGGAGAAAAGGCGAGGATGTCATGATTTGATATCAGCTGACCCCCAGCACTGCTGGCTGAGCATCCACAACACCAGGAGCAGGCTGAGGTGTGACTAATAGGTGTGCCAGCTGCATGATTTAAGTGGTTTCCACCTGGTATATATAAGTAACCTGCCTCTAAGGGTGTTTAAACTGGTAAGAACTGGTATTTGCTAACACGTAGCAGTGAAAAGCAGGTACTTAAATGCTCTCTGACCTCTCTGGCTGCTCTCTCTCCAGCTTGTACGGCCCCCTCCATGTAGCCACTCCATTCGGTGGCCGTCTCTGTGCCTGCAAAGTACAACTTGCCCACCGGCTCTCTCAGCACTCTGAAGAGCAAAAAAGAGAGAAACAGGAGAGGCTTCAGAGGTTAAACTGGTTTACAGGTTTTAAACACGTTTTATTTTTAATGTATGCACCAGCATTGTACTGACCATTGAGCTTTAGCATGCATTCACTTCATTTAAGAATATTATCTCACCTGAATAAGTGCAATATGGGATTATATAACATAAAGTGAATTTCCTTTGGATTAATCTTCCCACCCCCACTGTGCTCAACGTAAAAGAACCAAAGAAAGGACTTTTTCTTTAACTCTATTTCTTGCAGGGCCACCCGGTATGTGAAACAGTTACTCTGTATAAAAAAGCACAATGTTAGGTTTCCAACTCCAGCTTACTTTTCATTGTGAGTGAGAACACATTTGCACATCTGGTGAGGACATTTAGACATGAAATATGGTTCACATGACGATTAACAAGGAGTTTCAGTTTTTCATATGGAGGTTAACAAAACTCTAATAGTGAACATATGCACCAGGATCTGTACAACAAGCAGCTTCGACTAATAAATGAAACCAGTTGCAATCTAGCAGATACCTGCAAACAGCCACGGCACTGGATTGTGTTTTATAGATTTAATGGGCAAATCCTGGGGACACGTCCTGCTGTACTGAAAATGCATTCATTTGTTCACACTCCAATAAAACCCATGAAATGCAGCAACAACACCATTCAGTTAGGAACGCCTCCAACAGGACCGGTCAGTTTTTTTCTTTAAAAAAGATGAATTATGAGATCACAGTATTGCTTGTGTGGTAAACATAATTATCCAACACAAAGTGTTGTGATCTCAGTGAGTCCCCTCTGGAACTGTGCACAGACAGGCAGGGTCATTTTATGGAGTACGAGTGGCGCTGATTTGCAGAAATAAGTGCAAATCCTGCTGAAACATATTGTGGTGAGCTCAGGCGAAATAGGAGACAGAGACTGTTTCAACCTGCTGTTCCTGCGCTAGCCTCAACGCTAAACTACAGGAAGGACAGCCTTTTATTAGGAATGCCCTTTCACACACAGCAATAGTGAGAGGTGCTCAAAATCACAGTGCTCTGCCAGCCACACTAAGCACAGAACACACAGCTACAGTAATGTTACATACTAACAACAGCAATGACAAATCAACACATGTTAACTGTAGCAGCCGTTATAACGCTACAACTTAGAAACATTAACATCAGGTATAGACCCATAAGCCTTTGGGCCAGCGGCCCCTCCCCCTAGCCCTCTACATAGCCCGCACCTGAAGGGGTCAGTTGTCCCCAACAACCCCATCACCCCACACAAAGTCTTTCAAATGTCCAGGGGCCTTCTTTAGGCGAGTCGTCCGGGTGAGCCTGCTACAATACATTAGCCATTAATATCCAGGAGCTGACACATTCAAATAAATTAAGTTAATTGAAATGAAAAGATCACACTTTCATATTTATGTTTATTTTTTTGTGTGTGTACACGTGTGAGAGAGACTCACCTGCCAAACTGAGTAAGGATTCCTGGGGGGAAATAGGCTGTGTAGCAGCCTCCAGAGTACTCCTCTTCACACCAGTTCTTCTCCTCATAGTGCACCGGCTGCAGGAAACAAGCAGGCACATGAGCAGTCAGTCAAGTGATTCCACAGTATCCACATGACTGTGTACCACTCTGCACCCAAACTCACATGCAAAGCCTCATCTGTGCCCAGCACTTTGGAGTAGATCTCACAGATCCTCCTCAACCTAAACACAACAACACAGGAGTTGGGATTAAACTGATCTCACAGCTCGTGAGAGTTTTTTTCCATCTCTGTCCACTGGTGTCTACCTTTCTTCCTTGGACAGGCTTGAGAGCTTTCTGCACTTGTGGGCAAGGATGAATCTGGGGGGGAGAGTGAAAAGAGAAAACACTACATGAGCATGTGTGGCTGGTTGGATGACTTTATCACTTGTGTTTAGCTCCATTCAAGCACAAGTCCTACACTGTATGGAAATTCTTGTAGGAGCTCATGCGAGAATACTAGGTCAGAGTCAGATGGTAAAGCTGAGACACAAGCCTACAGGCCAGTCAGTAACCCTCTGATAATCACAGGTCGCTAGTGAAAAAAATGTGTATTCCACCCTAATGATGACTAAAGCACTCATCATGGTGCAGCATTGTATACTTCTTTGGGGCTGCTGATATCACTTAGCGCTATCTGGCAACCTCCAGTAACCACTTGCCAACCAATCTTATAACTCAGGTCTGAAAGCTGTCCTGCGACAGGTAAATATTTTTGGCGATGTAGTGTACAATATGGAATCATTATACAAAATATACACAATTACAGAGAACTGTTTGAAGCTCTGTACCAACCCCATAATACAAGGTACAGTCCCATCAGGCTTTGTGTCATCCAGGGTGAAGCCGATGGGAGCGCCCTCCTCCTCTATCACCATGCTGCCGCAGTAACCTGGTAACACAATAAAACGTTAGAAATGGCATCATCTCTCACATCGGTCACGTGGTACGCCCGCCCAAGATGGCAGCTTAAGTTGGAGACGCGCACTCCTCTTCCCCCGAAACCTCGTTAAAAATAGGTCAGAGCTGGTTATTTGTCTTATTTGGGATCTGCCCTGGTAAATTCAGTGGAAGGAGTCAGAAGAATCATTACGTTTTACGCAACGATTCGATTATGCCGCGAGGAAAAACACACAACACTCAGGCTACTTCACTAACTACTATGGCGGAGACACCTGATGGAGTCGATGCCAGGTGTCCTTCCCAAGATGGTGTGGCGGCCGAGCTGACTTCTATAAGATCTCTGCTTGAGCAGGTAGCACAAGACATGACGGCGGTGAAAGGTGGTATCGAGTCTCTCAAGGAAGCTGTGAACAGTTTGGGTGTGAGAGTGGATGAAACAGAGACAAGAATTTCTCGATTGGAGGACGAAGAGGCTAAAGCCAGCTCAATATGTAAGATCTTGAAGATACAGAACCAGCGGCTGCAGGAAAAAGTAACGGCGCTTGAGGGTTCCTCACGGCGTCAGAATATTAGAATATCGGGTATTAGAGAAGGATCCGAAGGCAGTAATATTGAGGATTACGTGAAGAATCTGCTGTCTGAAGCTCTGGACATTGAGATGGGAGATTACTACGAAATAGATAGAATCCATCGAGTGGGGCCAGCTTTTCCGAAGCCCACTGCGGACTCCAGACCGAGACACATTATTGTTCGCTTCCTACGGGATAAAGCCAAGATGTCCGTGCTGGCGGCTGCCAGAAAAAAGGGGCAGATCGTTTGGAAAGGCATGAGAGTTCTTTTTTTCCAGGATTACGCTCAGGAGGTACAAGAAAAACGCAGGAAGTTTGATGAGGTGCGCCGCTTGTTGCAACAGTACAAGATTGGCTATTCTCTTCGTTTTCCGGCTGTTATGTCTTTTTCAGTGGATAACCAGTATCATCAGTTTTCCAACCCAGCTGAGGCTAAGCAATTTCTAAGCGGCCTGGATTTGGTTAACATTCCGGGTGATGTAGATTAAGAGGATTTGATAAGCTATGGGTTGGTTTACTTCTGAGGGGGGGGAGACGTAAGGAGGGACACCATCTGGGAATTTTTTTGAGTGCCACGGACCTGCGATTTTTTTTATGTTTTCATGTTCTTTTGTTTTTTTTGTTTGTTTTTTTTTTTTTTTTTTTTTTTTTTTTTTCTCTTTTCTCGTGTTTGGTTTTGTTGTTGGTTTTGATGGTATGGTACCAACTGTCCTGTATAGACCTAATTTTTGGATCATTGGGTTGTCTCATGTTACTGGCTCTAAGAGTTGTTATATGGGTAAATGGGATATTCCTCTGGATAAATTTGTATAATAATTCGGCTCACATGGTGTTATGGAGTTATGTAAAATTGTGTCGTGGAATATAGCGGGTTGTCATAATGTTATTAAAAGGAAGAAAATCCTCACATATCTGAAACAGAAAAAGACTGATATAGCCCTGATTCAGGAGACCCATCTTGATGAGGCCGAATCATTAAAGCTTAAAAGAGACTGGGTGGCGCAAGTTTATTTTAGTGCATTTTCGGCTAGAAAAAGAGGGGTGGTCATATTGATTAGAAGAAACTTGGATTTTCAGGTCTTTAAGCATTATACAGATCAGGAGGGTAGATGGGTGGTTTTGGATGCATGTTTACAGGGGCGGAAAATGACATTGGTCAATATATATGCTCCTAATTCTCCTCAGCCACAATTTTTTCATGAAGTCTGTAACATGGTGCGGACTATAGGTAACACACACATTGTAATTGGGGGAGATTTTAACCGGGTCAGGGATGTCTTATTGGATAAATCTTCTTGTACTGGACTAAGCAAGGACCCAACAAACGCTGCGGTGGACGTGATGTCAGAGGAACTGAGTCTAGTAGATATATGGAGACTTCTTCATCCTCAAGAAAGAGATTATACCTTTTTTTCGCATCCTCACTCAACCTACTCCAGGATAGATTACTTTTTGGTGTCCCGTTCTTTGGCAAGTCAAACTATTGGGTCCTCTATTGGTAACATTGCTATATCGGATCATGCTCCCATTGACCTTGTTCTTACTGACACTGATAATATTAAACCGTCACCTAGGTGGCGCTTGAATAACTCAATATTGAAGAATAAGGGTCATTGCGAATGTATAAGGGAAATGATAAAGGAGTTTTGGTTGTACAATGAGGGCTCTATTGACGACGTTGGAATGACCTGGGATGCTTTTAAGGCCTATTTGAGGGGGCGCCTTATTCAATATTGCTCCTTGATTAAAAAAGCTGAGAGGGATAAGCTGATGAAGTTGGAACAGGATATCAAGGAGCTTGAAAAACAACATATGTTGCTCCCAGAGAGGGACTTATGGAACAAATTAATTAAATTTAAATTTGAGATGAATAGCATATTGGAGAAAAAAGTGGAATATGCAATGTTTTGTCTAAATCAGAAGTACTTTGAACAAGGGGAGAGAACAGGTAAAATGTTGGCACACAGGGTTAAGCAGATAAAATCTAGTAACCTTATACCATCTATTTTTGATCCTAGTAATAATAATAAGTTGACTACTAGCAAAAAAGAAATAAATGATATTTTTACTAAATATTATCAGGAGCTGTACACTTCTAATGGACTGGTGGAGGAACAGAGGCTGTCAGATTTCTTCTCTTCTATTAAAATTCCCAGCCTGTCGGAAGATCAAAGAAGTATATTAGAAGGTAAGATTACATTAATTGAAGTTAAGCAGGCAATCGGCAGCCTTAGAGTGGGTAAATCTCCAGGTAATGATGGATTTCCATCAGATTTTTATAAGGTGTTTGTGGACGAACTAGCTCCAAGACTACTGTCGGTATATCAAGATGCGTTTCAAAGAGGGAGACTACCGTTTAGTATGAGATCGGCAGTGATCACGTTATTACATAAAAAAGGGAAAGACCCACAGCATTGTGGGAATTATCGCCCAATTTCATTAATTAATGTGGATGAAAAAATTATTTCTAAGATATTAGCTTTTAGGCTTGAAAAAGTTCTTCCGTATTTGGTGCATAGGGATCAGGTCGGTTTTGTGAAAAATAGAAGCTCTGCGGATAATCTACGTAGGATATTGCATATACTCTGGAAGAGCAGGACTAAGCTAGACCCTGTCGTTGCCTTCTCTTTGGACGCAGAGAAAGCTTTTGATAAAGTTGAGTATCCTTTTCTGTTTCATACCTTGAAGAGATTTGGTTTCGGTCCCTTTTTTAGGCAGTGGATTCAGGTGGTATACACAGATCCAATGGCTACAGTTATTACCAATGGGATAATGTCACCCTCATTTTCGTTAAGTCGGGGTACTAGACAAGGTTCACCCTTATCACCTCTCATTTTTGCTCTGTTTTTGGAGCCTTTAGCCATAGCTTTACGTGAATGTAAGAAAATTAGAGGGGTGGATTTGGGTCAAGAAGAACATAAAACTTTTTTGTATGCAGATGATATTTTACTGATTTCAACTAACCCAGAACAGGCCGTTCCTGCAATTTCCTCAATTATTGATTCTTTCTCTGTAATCTCTGGATACACTATAAATTGGTCTAAGTCTGAAGCTATGCCTATTTCTAAATTGTGTCCGCCTGTTATGAGGAGTTCATGGCATTTCAAGTGGATGCCCGAGGGTCTGACTTATTTGGGGATTAAATTGACCCCTGGTTTAGACAACATAATGAAAGTAAATATTTCCCCAGTGATTCAAAACATCCGTTCGCTGTTGCAGAATTGGGTTAAAATAAATCTGTCCCTTTTGGGCAGAATTAATTTGGTGAAGATGATTATTGCCCCTAAACTTCAGTACTTTCTTCACATGTTACCGATAGCAGTCCCACATAATTTGCTAAAGCTTTATAATACATGTGTAGAGGGTTTTGTGTGGGCAGGTAAAAAGCCATTGTTCAATCGGTCTAAATTATATGCTGCTAAAGAGAGTGGTGGGTTGGCATTGTCTAAGATGGTCTGGTATCATTATGCTTTCTCCCTCTCTCAGTTAGTTAAGATACATAATTCCTCTACTGATAAGCCATCATGGGTTGGGATTGAGGAAAGTCTTGTGGCCCCTTCGTCTTTAGAGGCCTTCCTTACTCAGAAGGGAAGGCCAGTACCGTTTAAAGATCCAGTACTGTCTTTCATGCAAGAGACCTGGCTTAGAGCTCACCAATATACCAACAGCAGCCCTTATCTCACCGCTAGAGCCTCTATTTGGTATAATAAGAAAGTATTAATAGGTAAGAAACCGGTCTGGTGGGAGGCCTGGGCTAGGACAGGTATTAATCAGATGGGGGACCTATTTGGGCAGACTGGCATGAAATCGTTTGCAGAAATCAGACGAGAATTCAATTTGGATCCAAGGGAAATTTGGAGGTTTTTTCAAATAAGACATTGTATTAAAGCCATTTTGAAAAATAATCTAGACCCTCCATCTAGTGTTCAGAAGATGTTTGCAACCCCTGACAATAACAGAATCAGGGCATCTAAATTTTATGGGAGCTTCAGAGAGGCACACGCTCCCAGTTTGGGGGGACTGAGGCGGTGTTGGGAGAAAGATCTGGGCATCCAGATCTCAGAGGACAGTTGGAAGATGCTGATCTCATCATGGTATGTCTGCTCACCTGAAACACAGTCTCAACTTATCCAGTACAAGTTGCTTCACAGAAACTATTGGACACCCAGTAAATTAGTCAGGTTGAAGCTCGCAGATAAGGACATTTGTTGGAAATGTCAGCAGGAAGTCGGGACTCTAGTTCATATGTTGTATACATGTCGGAAAAATGATTATTTGTGGGATGGGATCATCAACTTGGTGAATGATATTTTTAAACTTAATCTTTCTAAATCTCCAGCTATATGCGTCCTGGGCCTACTACCTGACGATAACACTCTCTCAAAAAAACAGAGATTGTGGATGCGTCTGGCTTTTATAACTGGTTGCAGGGTAATTCTTAGGCATTGGAAGTCATCCAGCCTCTGTTCTTTCAAGGAATGGACCGAACAAATGTCTAGGATGGCATCATATGAACGGGTTATGTATAGAATGAAGGGAAGAGAAGATATTTTTGAGCAGGTCTGGGGTCCCTTTTTGCGGTACATTGATAATGTCTCTTAGACATTATGATAAATGGTCTCTTAGAGGGATATTTCATGTGTCATTGGTATTTTGGTTGTTGTCTTTTTTTTTTTTTTTTTTTTTTTGCACCAGGGGGTTTTACCCTTATTCGTTTTTGTTTTTGCTGATGTTCTCCAGGAGGCGGTGTATTATTTTGTTTCTCCTGGGTTTTATTTATTTTATTTATTTATTTATTTATGTAATTTTTTTTTTTTTTTTTTTTTTTTTTTTTTTTTTTTTTTTTTTTGTGTGTTGTTTGTTTGCTTGTCTTAGTTTGTTTGTTTGTTTAGAAATGGACAGAGAACTGACAGTATGATTATTGCAGTTGTATATTTATTTATTAATGTTTCTGTCCATCCAAAAATATTAAAAAAAAAAAAAAAAAAAAAAAAAAAAAAATGGCATCATCTTGAACAGGATTCGCTCTCTCTGTGTTTTCACTTCCTGCGTACCCTTTTTCCTCCAGAAGATCTCTCTGTAGTAGACCATGCACTTTATGACAGAGCCCATGGGAACACGGTTGATCAGCTGGTTCCTCAGCGGGGGCAGCTCAGGGTTGAAGTGCATCTTCAGATTCAAAGCAGGTGGTGTGGCCACGATCACATACTTGGCCTAACACAGAGACAGAGACAGTACACAGTGCGTACCAATAGTCTGTTTATAACTGAAAGATGTGACCCAGAAGTATCTGCATGGTAGTCATCAGCCATAGTAAGAGATGTTGCAATTCTCCAAATACTAAGGAAAGAGGCTTCAGTGCTTCCTTTAATATAGGATACACTGGACTATCCTTTATGAAAAGAGGGGAGAAAATGCTGTCCCATAATTCATTACAATGGAACATCTGACCATAAATGAAAACATTCAACCTAATCAACAAAGTAACACAGATCATGTACATTTTAACTGCTTTTTTCCAAGCAGCCAGTAGATGGCAGCCAAAGAGCAGCAGTGCCAGTGAAGTTTGTGAGTAACACTGTGAAGCAGTTACTGTTTTACAGATACATGGATGTTTCATATTCAGACTGCATTATCTCACATTACCTAGTGTATAAATATAGTATCTGTTTCATTTCCTAATACATAATAAAATCAAACAAACACTATAACAGTTATTTGAAACATGGCTGCAGTAACAGGAAAACAGGAAAAGGAAAGTCCTGCATTCACAATCTACTGAAACATAAGAGCAGCGTCATTATTCATTATCTTATCAGCTCGTTAACGGTGATGTATCCATATAAGCAAAGTCATTCTGACTATTTGTTTTGTGGGCCATTTGAAGGTTGGGAACCACTGGACTGAACTAATCAATTGTGTCTACAAACCCAGTTTCAGAAAGTTGTAACATTGTGTAAACTGTAAATGAAAACAGAATGCAGTGACTTGCCGATCTCAGAAAGCCATCTTTTATTCACTTATACAGAAAAATATCAGAAATCTACTATTATCATTTACAGAAACAAAAAGCTCACTTTGAATTTGATGGCAGTGACATGTCTCAAAGTGACACGACCAGCGATAAAAAGAGCATCTCAGAGATGCTCTGCAAAAACCCCCAAAACTGTGTCTACAAACTGTGGAGCAATTTCAGAAAAATGTTCCTCAACATCAAACTGAAAAGAATAATATCATCAAAACATTCCAAGAATCTGGAGGAATTTCTGTGTGCAAAGGATAAGGCTGAAAATCAATAATGGATGCCCGTGACCTTTGGGCCCTGCTGCATCACTGCACTAAAGCAGGCATGATTGTCATGAAATCACTGGGAGGGCTCGGGAACACTTCTGGAAATCACTGTCTATGAACACTGTACTGTTCACAAATACAGGTTAAAGCTCTATCATGTGAACATGATGGTGAAACACCGCCATCATTTCTGGGCCAAAGCTCATTTTAAACAGACTGAGGCAAAGTGGAAACTGTTCTGTGGTCAGAGAAATCAACAGAAAGGCTTCAGCAGAAGTAAAAGAGTTGGGGTGTTGAACCGGCCTGCCTGCAGTCCAGACCTTTCACTAATTTGGAGCATTATGAAATGAAAAAAAAAAAAAAACAGATATATGACAGAGAGCCAGAACTGTTGACATATATAATCAAACATGAATGAGACAACTTCCTGCTCCCAAAGGTTTAGTACCTGCTCTCCTCAGTTGCTGAGGAGGTGTTAAAAGAAGAGGCGATGCTAAACTGTCTTAAACATGGCCCCAACGCAACTTTTTGGAGAACAGTTGCTGCCATCAAGTTCAAAATGAGCCAATATCCATTTGCACTTTCTATGCTCCGTTTATGAGATTGAAAATAATTGCATTATTTTTATTTGACATTTTTACACAGCATCAACTTTTTCAGAATCAGGATTGTACGTACATCTGCACATATATTTATTTATTTCCTGTTTTAAAATGTCTCCCTTTACAGCCATCACACAGATGAATGTGAGTTAAGTTAGATATTTCCCTCTGAAATGCAGGGACATAAAAGTACAAAGTATCACAAATTGGAAAACGTTAGGGTAAAGTATAAGAACCACCTCTCTGTGATACATGCTGATGAGGGACCTTCCATGTTGCTCTGAGTGCATTTCCTCTATTTTCCTCTCATTATTTTATCCTCACTTTTTCCAAGTTCTGCTCAAAGGGGTTTCTCTCCATCTTGTTGTAATCCCTTTGACCATTTAGTGCGGTGTGCCATGAGATGATTTGGTGCTAGATACCATTAATAAACATTAATCGAGCTCCTCGAATATTTACTAGACTGGACTTTAAATGCTCATTTCCAGCTCAATATTATATTTCTGACTAAAGCAGAATATGTAAGGAAAGACATAAAAAGTGTCCTTAAAGAATAGTACTTCAAAGGAAATACTGGTGATATACTCAACTCACCTTGTAGGTCTGCTTGTCCACGGTCTCCACCACAACCATGTCTCCGGTCTGGTCGATCCTGTAGACTGGAGACTGCAGCTTCACTCGGTCTCCCAGCTCCCTCGCCATGCACTGACTCACCTGATTCGAACCTCCTACAAACTTCCTCTCCTTGAGACACAAAGAGAGCAGAGTTCAGTGAGCACCAACAGGGAGAGCAGATGCAGCAACACTGGTTTCTATTTATATTGGGTGGAAGTGACTCTGATCCCCCTCTGGGTACCCCTCGGCAAGGCTAATAAACTCCCAGTTTGGAATGAAGCCGATAAAATCCCCTGATTTATCCTGGTGATACACACCGGTTATCCTCAGTCCGCCTTCATTTCCTTCACTACAAATTTCTGCATCTTAATTCAAAAGAAACACGTTCATAAAGCCAGGCCAGCAAATGTTAAATGATGAAGATGACAGTGAGGAGGTAGAGAGGTTTGGGCTGTCAAAGCTCCAATACACAAAACCATTTCCATGTGGTTAGTGTCAACATCTCTCTCATCCCTGACCAGAAACACATTGTGTGCATTCCTCTGTGGCATTTGGATGAATTTGTCAAGCAGTCGCTGTGAAAGCACGAGCTACACCTGAATCAGTCCTGGGCGGTGAAACGAGGTGAGCCTCTTCTTGTCTTGTTTGATTAAAGACACATTTGCAGTTTTGCAGGAGGAGTGCAGCTGCACTCGAAGCAATGCATACCAATAGCATATCCATATGTTTAAGATGACTATGCGTAAATACTTCAAACACCCCTATGTATGCACCATCCACAAGGTGTGTAAGCTTTAAATGTGGAGCAAACAGGAAGGAGCCGACTGCACTACTGTTTGTCATTTGTTTACCAAAGCCTTTGTGGCTATGGGAACAAGGCCCTCAGCTTGAGGAACGGCAGCAGAAAAGACGCCCTGAGTATTCCAAGAAAACATCTTTTGTGTGGACAGCATCTTATTCAGGCCAGACTAAGGAGACTGGGCTGTGAGGGATCTCCCTCTGACGTTCACACTGCTCCTCTGAATCACTGAATGAATCTGTGTGAGAGGCAGAGAACGCAAGTCCACTTCTTGGCACGCCGAGAGAATATTCTGTTTGTTCAGACAGATATATAAAAAAACGAATTCTTTCAGTCTGTTGTTCTGAATCAGTAGGTATAATTTTGGGCAGATATACCTGTCCTCCATTGGTGGTGGAGCAGATCCTCATTATTCCTCCGCACTGTTTGACGTACCAGAGTAACCAGAGAGCCGACACCTCGTGGGGTTCAGCGGTCACGATCAAGTTGACAAACAGTGTGGCGAAGCGACGAGCAGTTCTGGGAGGGATTACATGGAAGGTAAGAAGTCTTTAAATACTGCAGGTACCCCAGTCACAATTTTTATATTTTGTAAGAGTGTGAACAAAGCACAAATAAATCACCATGTCAGGGATTTCTGCTTGCTTGTCCTACTTTTCCAGCAGAGACTTGCACATAATCTACATTTGAGCAGTTTCAAAGTTGAACTAAAGTTTTATTTTAGTTTAATATAGGATACATTACAGGATTAATTCAAACGCTGGAGCAGTACAATCATTTAATTAGTGAAGGACTGTTATTTCTATGTTGTTACAAAAATGTAATTTACTTTTTACAAGCTGCATATTTTAAATTTACACAGTAATTAGATTATCAAAAACATTCTCACTCACAGTGCATCATATACTGAAGCTTCTCCACCAAAAACCTCTATGAAACAGCTACAACCTTCAGCATCAGTTTTCAAAGTTTTTGCAGGGATGAGAATTCTTATTCTTATTAGTGCTGACACAGGAAGCTGTAACCATTTCCACCTCTGCAAGTTTGAGTCACTGAACTGGACCTCTTAACTGTGACTGTGGTGTTGGAGATCATTTTATTGGAATTAGCCAATTAACCAAAATTAACCAAAGAGCGTTAATTTTACTTCCAGCTTCAGTGAGTGGAATTCTAGCATTTCATGCCAAGTCTGTTGTGCAGAATGCTGCACCCATGAAACCTTAGTAACTGAGGTTGCTAACATTAGGTTATAACCTATCACTCCACCAGCCAGCCTCGCTGACTCATATGAGATATTAGAAAATAAAACGACATTTCTTTTGTTAGAGACCACCTTCAACATTTGTGTCACATGATTTAACAATAAAACTTTAAACTGGATATAAACGAGATAACAGGATGAATAGCTAGACCTATTCTCTGCACAAACGGGAAACATTTTGAACATGTTACCTGGTCCAGCAGAGTTTTTCAAAGAGTTCCTGCATGGTCATCTTGTCCCACTCCTCAGCATGGGGAGCTCTCCAGGGAGCGTCTCTGGGAATCTGAAATGCAGGAGGGTGTTCAGCATGAGTCAGGCATGTAGCAGGTGTGCAACCTGTCCAGTAAACCAATCTAGAATGCTTATTAATAAGAATACTCATTAATAGTGAGAACTGCTTTACCTCCTCGCCCATCTTATCCATTGTTCTAAAGAGGTTGTTGAAGTCCATCAAAGCGATGGGGTTCCACATGGGAGGCAAGGAGCCTTTGAACGGGTAAGACTTTCCCTGTTGGACACATGATTGCGGCCATCATCACCAAAACAATATTCTTCAATCATCAAATAACCATTGCTTATAAAAGCTGTGCTTAATGATGGCAGCATTCAAAGAACAACATTTCAGCATTTGCCATTAAAGATTTGTTTCAGTTGACCTCTAACTGACCGTGAAAGCAGTTTGAAGAGTGGTGGAGAAAGTGGAGTAATAGCTTGTGCAATGTTTACAACTGAATCAGAGATACTGAATCATTAAATGTGATAAGAGTAGCCATAATCTAAAGCCATAATTTTTATGCCTGGTCTAGTTTATTTCTGCATTTCTCAATCACACACAAAGACATACAAACACAGAGGTGACAGTCAGGGGTAGATGCAGTGGGTTTAAAACCACTAAAGTGTTGCCACACCACAATTGTAACTAGAGATTCATTTTTGTTGCTTTCTAGCAAAGTTCCCTTTGCTATGTGGAGGATAACAATGGTTTGAGTACATTCATTTATGTGTGTTGATGGAATCTCAAATAATCTCTCTAGCGTCATACGCTAGAGAGATTATTTGAGAGCTTGAGTATTGAGAGCTTTGCTTGACAGGAACATTTATTTCAAACCTTATTAAACACAAACTTCTTTGAAAGAGAAAAAAACTGTCTATACATCTTTGTGGAAATGCCCAAGCCTCACAGAGCTGTCAGCTCAGAGACAATTCTGGAATAACACTTACACTGTACTGTCTTGGTCTGCAGCTGCAGCTTAAACTAATAATGTCTCCTATTATTTACAGTCTCCTAACTTATTGTGTTGTGTAATGTAATACCACTGTAATAGAGCCAAAGGAAAAAACAAAACAAAAAGAATATCAAAATTGTTTAGTTCTTCATTTCATTGTAAAACAATGCAGCTGTAACTGCATTATTACTGCATTAAAGGAGACTGGAGGCATCAAGGTGGCACGGAGGGAGGTTAGCCAACTATCGGAGATGCAGAAAGGTGCGACAAAGAAGGTGCCTAAGAAGTACAGCAAGTTGTCCAATACCTGAGGCCTTGGAAACTGCCAAGCAAAGACTCACAGCCTTAGCCAGCTGCTTAAAGAGGTACACCAGAGACATAGAAAAACACCAGCTACTGGTAGACCGAGCAGTCAGCCGAGACTGCAAGACTAGGCTGACAAACCTGTGCACTCCCTGGATTGATTACAAGAAGGCCTACAACTTGATGCCCCACAACTGGATGCTGGAATGCCTAGACCTGTACAAGATCAACAGGACCCTAAGAAGAAACTAAATGTAAATTTATCAGGAACTATCAGGAACTCAATGGGGATGTGGTGGACAACACTAGAGGCCAACTTTAAGCCCTAAGGTTGTATGCTAAGCTTAAGGAAGGAGGTCAGAGGCTAGTTAGTGTCAGTACCACAGTGGCTGGACAAAGCTGGACTGAAAGACAGCACAGAGGCGCTAATCATGGCAGCACCGGAACAAGCATAGAGGCTGGGCTCTATCACCCCAGGCAAGACCCCAGGTGCAGGCTGTGTAAAGATGCCCCTGAGACAATCCAGCACATAACAGCAGGGTGCAAGATGCTAGCAGGCAGGGCATACATGGAATGCCATAACCAAGTGGCCGGCATAGTGTACAGAAACATCTGTGCCGAATATGGCCTGGAAGTCTCGAGATTAAGATCCTGTCCTCAATGAGAGGACCAAAGAACGCTACTTGAAGACAAAGGTGACTGTACTGCAGAGGAGGACTTTATGACAACCATCTAAAGATAAAGATTTCACAGAACCACAGAAAATGCTAATCACTGCCCTTAGCCTTTTACCCAAATTATATTGTACGCTCTTATCTGACTTTGAAACAAACATCTATTATCAATAGTTATTTTACTGCCTATTGTAATATACAGTACTGGGAAAATGTTTGCTCTTCTTAATTTCTCATTTCTTAAACTACATTTAGTTTTAAAATTTAGTAAATTATTATTAGATTCGATTAATTAATACATTAATTTAGTAAGGAAAAGGCTAAACAAACCTACCATGTCCTAAATCGTGAATTTACTGTGATCAACCACATTTTTTGGAAAGTTGAACTTTGGAAAGTTCAGTTTCAACTAGCCACACTCAGGTCTGATAACTGCTGAATCCAGAAATCACTCAAGTAGAACCCGTCTGACAAAGTAAAGTAGGCTAAGCGACACGTCATGCCATGATCTGAAGAAACTCAAAAACAGCTGAAAGACTAAGCTGCTGACAACTATCGGTCTGGAAAACCATTTCTAAGACTGAGCCAAGTGGAGAGCTGTTATTCACAAATGGGCTACTAAAATTACTCCAAGAGTGCATCAATGATTCATCCAGGAGGTCACAAAAGAATCCAGAACAACATCTCAAGAACTGCAGGCCTCACCTGCCTCAGTCAAGGTGTTTGTGATTTACCAACAACAATTTTAAAATTTTACTAATGTAGTAAAACACTAACACACACACACACGGTATAAAAATATAGGTAATAAAGACTGATTGCTGTGAACTGCCGATGCAGGGATTGGTTCCCAGGTGTAAGATAATAAATCATATCTAAACACCACCTCTGAAGTCAGTCTAAAGATTTCTTGGATTTCTATCTTGCAGAGCATTCATTATGTGAGAGACCAACATACAATGCAAACAGTTTTACATTATCTGATAGTTTCACTGTGATTATTATAGCATTCTAAGATCTGTTCAAGATCTGTTTTGTGTATATATTGTCATAGTGTTTTCTTTGTCCTTTGTCAGACTGTCTGTGTCTCATGTCTCTGTTCCTGTTTGCTATCCTCCAGTGTTTGATGCGTCAAGTGTTTTGTGAAATTTTCAGATTCTGATTATTCTCTTGTTGTTGTTTTTTCCTGTTTAATAAGTTCTGGTTCTAGTCCAGGTTTTTCTTCCTTGGGACAAGGAGGAAGTGCAGACACTGTTGGGGTTCTTTACCAGGGTGTTTACCGAGCTTGAACCTAGGAACAGGTGGCAGGGGGGATCTGAAGGGGTGGCAGAGGACAGCCAATTATTTTTTGGCAGTATTAATTACCCTCTGCGCAGCCTTTTTATTCTCAGTTGGGTGATAAGGATGTCTGGGATTATAGAGTTGAATGTTGAGCTGTAGTCCACGAAGGGCATCCTCACATAGCTCTTCCTGTTAGCCAGATGGCTCAGCGCTCTGTGAAGGGTGACAGTGATGGCATTTCCAGTATTTCCAGATATTTCATTTTTCATTTTTCCCCCAAACCACTGTCCAAAAAAAAAATCAAATCAAATCAAATAAAACCCTGAGCTCAGTGTGAGCTTTGGTAAGATATTTCTTGTAGTTGGTCATTAGGTTTGCACACATTTCAGGAGTGATTTTGGCCCACTCCTCTTTACAGAAAATCTCTAAATGCTTTAGGTTTTAAAGACCCCCACAGCACATTTTCTACAGGACTGGTAGAAAGGTCTGGTCTGGAGAATGGTTAAGCTGCAAAATGAACTTAACATTCTTCTTCGTTGGCCACTCCTATGTTTCTTTGGTGGTATATTTTGGGTCATTGTCATGCTGGAAGACTCATTCATATCTTCAGTTTTTTGGCCGATGGAAGAAGACTCTTGTCCAAGATTTTACGGCACATAGTCCAATTCATTGGCCCCTCTATACGGTGAAGTCATCCTGTACCCACAGCAGAAAAACAGCCCAAAACACAATATTTCCACCTCTGACTGTGGAGATTGTGTTCTTTAGGTCATACTCATCACTTCTCCTCCTCCAAACACTGTGGGTTAAGTTGTTGTCAAAGAGCTCGATTTTGTTTTCATCTGATTACATTACTTTCTTCCAAGGCTTCTCTAAATTTTTTGGGTGTTCACTGGCAAACTTAAGAGGGGTTTGTAAATGTGCCTTCTTGAGCAGGGGGAACCTTGTGAGCGCTGCAAGATTCGGTATATGGTAAATGGAGTGGTTCTTATACAGCACATTACTATTCTACTTGAACGCTCAAAGCACTTTAGCATGTATAATGTACCCGTACCTTTTGATTAATAGATGACCTGCTCTACCTCCTGAGCCACATTATTCTCTAATTTTAGACCATTACAACCAGTGTGTAACCATTGGTGTTTTTGGTGACTGTTCCTAGTCTTGAGATCATTAACAAGCTCCTCCACTGAGTATATATGTTCTGTACGACCGTGTGTGGGGGGAGTGGCTAATTTAGCAGATTACCGTATTTACCGCACTATAAGGCTCACCAGATTATAAGGCGCACTGTTGAAGACTGGCTCTGTTTTCATACATAAGGCGCATCATATTATAAGGCGCATTAAGACAAACAAAAAAATACCTCGACCTTTATTAAGCTCATTCACAGTAACTCTTAACACTGTTAAGCTGTAACACGTTAAATATTGAAAAATATACTTTTTCCAGTACGGTACATTCAACTTCCACAATTCCCTCAAACTCTTCACCTTCCGTGTCTGAGTTACGGTAAACAGCTGGGCAATTTCGGCATCAAGCATGCCCGGATCCCTCTCACACCGGATTAAAAGGCGTTTAAAGTGCACTCAGCAGAATAAAACAATCGGATGAGTTAAAATTTAACCAACTCATTCACAGTAACTATTAACATTGTTAAGCTGTTAAACATCAAATATTGAACAATACACTTACATTTCCAGTTCATTCAACTTCCACAAATCCATCAAACTCTTCACCTTCAGTGTCTGAGTTAAACAGCTGGGCAATTTCGGCATCAAGCATGCCCGGATCCCTCTCATCATTATCTGAATCAGTCTCGTTGCTGTTACTTAGCTGTTCAGTGATTATTCCAGCCTTCGTGAAAGCTCGGACGACACTTGAGACTGATACCTTAGCCCAAGCAGCCACGATCCATTGGCAGATAGTGGCGTAACTCGCTCGGCGTTGCCTCCCTGTCTTGGTGAATGTGTGTTCGCCTTCTGTCATCCAATGCTCCCACGCAGCTCGTAATTTAACTTTAAACGACCTGTTGATACCAATATCTAGTGGTTGGAGTTCTTTGGTTAATCCACCCGCAATGACGGCAAGCTCCAAATTAGTTTGCTTCACTTGGGTTTTGACAGCCTCGGTGAGATGGGCGCGCATGGAGTCATAGATCAAAAGAGACGGAGATTTGTGGAAAAAGCCATCCGGTCTCTTGACATAAACTTCCCTCAGCCACTTGCTCATTTTCTCTTCATCCATCCAGCCCTTTGAGTTAGCTTTGACGATGACGCCGGCCGGAAACTTTTCTTTTGGCAAAGTCTTCCTCTTGAAAATGACCATGGGTGGTAGTTTCTGGCCATTAGCTTGGCAGCCCAGAACTACAGTGAAGGATGACTTCTCGTTCCCTGCGGTGCGTATAGATACCGTACTGGTCCCTGTTTTCTCGACAGTACGGTTCACGGGGATGTCAAAGGTGAAGGGGACCTCGTCCATGTTAGTGATGTGTTCTGGCCGGATCTTCTTTTCAGTGATCTTATTCTGGCAGTACGTGCGGAAAATGGCCAACTTTTCTTTGTAATCGTTTGGCAGTTGCTGTGAGACAGTAGTTCTTGTGCGGATTGAGAGATTATGCCTTTTCATAAAACGGAAGCACCAAGAAGGTCCCCCTCGAAAGTCTTGATCTGCATGTCACGTGCTACCGCTGTTGCCTTGAGTCGAATAGAGACTGTAGAGACACTTCTACCTGCTGTTCTCTGTTCAATAACCCACTGTTCAATTTAAGATAAGATAAGATAAGATAACCTTTATTAGTCCCACACGTGGGAAATTTGTTTTGTCACAGCAGGAAGTGGACAGTGCAAAAGTTATGAGGCAAAAATTAGAATACAATAAGAATAAATACAGTACACAACTGTACAGAATAGAATAAAATAAAATACTATATACAGTAGAATAAAATAAAATAAATATACAATAAGATAAAAATAGAATACAAATACAAATACTATATACAACTGAGTAAAAATACAACGATGACAGAAAGGATTATTGCACTTAGTATTATTGCATATGTATGGATGTGTGTGCTTGATCAGTTAAAGTCTTTATTATGGAGTCTGACAGCAGTGGGGAGGAAAGATGATGATAATTGATAATTTTGTCCTCTAACTGCGGCCATCGCGCCTTGTTCCCTCGGAAACTCCTTTTGGTCTTCTTTACTTGTTTTAGGTCATCTTTTTGCTTCCTCCACTTGCGCACCATGGACTCATTAATGCCAAATTGTCTCGCAGCTGCTCTATTTCCATTCTCTTCTGCATAACTAATTGCTCAAAGTTTAAAATCAGCTTCGTAAGCGTGTCTCTTCACGGGTGCCATTTTGGAGTCGTTATACACACACACACACACACACAACACGGTAATGTTGTGTTGAAGCACAGTACGTATTACTCCGCGAGGCTCCTGGCAACGGTAACCGTAATGCTCCAAAAAGTGGCACTAAAAATCTTTTTTTGACAGATTTTTGAGCATAGTGTGCCACATAAAACCGGTTCGAGGTCAGTAAGCACAAACCAAAATTCATACATAAGGCGCACCAGATTATAAGGCGCACTGTCGATTTTTGTGAAGATTTAAGGATTTTACGTGCGCCTTATAGTGCGGTAAATACGGTACAGTCAAGTGAACTAAAGTTAACAATGATGATAACAATGTTTTACTTTGTGTGCAAAGTAAAAAATTTGTTTTTAGTGCAAACAAAAAGATTCCCCAAAAATGCTTCAAACTCTACTGCTGATGGCAAAGAGGCTAGCTCTGTTAGCTCATGCAAAAGTCAAGCTGACAGGAAAAGTGCCAGCGGCAGAAAGTGGCAATTGAAAAATGTTGATAAAGATCCTTGTTGCCATGCCTACTGCGTGATGCCAGAAAAGTAGCAGAGACTTGGATTTCCTTTTTATTGGATAATGGGTCAGACTCAGGATATGGTGCATCATCTTCTGAAAACTGTCATCATTTACTCCATCACTTAAAGTGAAGAATACATCTGGAACATGTCATGATCTGTCACAGACTACACAGACATAACATAAACCAAGAGAGCTTGGAATAGAAAATTATCTGCAATAAAAAAAAGACACTCACATTAACATAATGCACCAAGTTCTCCTGCTCGTTGACTTTGTAGGTCTTTATGCCATACTCTTTGGCCAGACGGAGGATGCGGTTCTGTGTCGGTCCAATGTAGGCACCGCCTAGATCAACCCACTTTGCCTCCTTATTCTAAAAGACACATACTCACAATTAGATCATGACAAAAAAGAAAGAAATGTCACAGATATTTCTGAAAAGGCTAACTGATCTATGCTTGCACTTCTACGCTCATAAATGACTTGAATATAAATGTCATTTTTTTTCTGTATGCCCATTAAAAGAAATAGATACACTATCTTGGTTGTAAAATTAAAAAGGCTGGAAAGCATTTATATTACTGTTACTGATTGTCTCTTTTATGAGCCGCTCCTACAGTAGTATTGACACTCTTTGCCTTACCTGCACAGTGAAGGTACGACCACCAACCCGGTCTCTGGCTTCCAACACTACAGGATCGAGCCCACTGGCTTTCAACAGCTTTGCAGCACTCAAACCTGCAGAAGGACAGAGACACCAACAGGACTTAAACATAAGGATTCAAGCAATATATGTGCTTTCTGTACTTGTAAAAAAAAGCAATAGCAAAAGGCACACAGGGATTTTAAAGGTCTTTTAAAATAAATGACAAAAAAGGCTTCCAAAAATCCCCTTCTCAAAGAAAAACATTGTTTTTGCGCTCTATTAGATCACTCAAAACCAGATCAAGAGGATCGTTTGGAAAATCTGATAAGAAAGACAAAGATTTGAACTTCTTTGTTTATTTTAAAGTAAATCTGGTTTCTCTTATGCTAGTTAGGACACTGTTATACCATCAACAGGTATTCCCACTTTAATTGTTTTCCGTTGTGCATTTACACTGATTAGCTTTTAGGTAGGCATGCAACTCTTAAATAAAATTACATAACATTTGCTTTTCAAATGAACTGAGAGAGCTCTGGGGAAAAAAATAGAGGGGGCAGGGGGATTGAGGTTCTCAACAAATCACAAACCAGCCAACCAGCTGATCATGTGGGGAGGAAGAGCTAACAAGTAAAGCACTGAGCACTGGCTCACCAACCACAGAGTATACAGTAGATAAACAGCTTGTCATACACTGACCTCTGGGATATGGAGTATGGTATGTCACAGGTTTTGCTGTGAGACTGGGCGGGCAGACATCTCCGAAATCATCGGAGCACTTTTGCAAATAGGCTCGATCTTGACAAACCGACCAGATATCTGAAGATTAAACCTCTACATTCTCGGCTAAAAAAATATTTAAACTGTATTCGGTGACATACAAACAGGGTATTTAAAGGCAAGTTCAGTTAGTTAGAGAAATGTCCAATAAAAAGACTGGCCACCAGGCCAAAGCAATGGTTTTTACTCGAACACCATTAACCCCACCCCCTGAGTTTGATGGGTGAGGTTGGCAGATAAAAGTAATTCATGAAGAGAGCCGCAGGGTCAGGACTGTCAAAATGAATTAAATAAATACATCATTAAATAATTGATTAAATGTGTTGATAATTAAATACAATTTGAAATAAATAAACACATAATTTATTCAATGTTTTAAATGAAATTAATGGGCATTTAATTAATTATTTAAACATTTATTTAATTAATTAATTTAAATTTTAATTAATTAATGACAAATTTAATTATTTATTTAATAACGTATTTCATTCATTTATTTCCTCACTCCTGGCCCTCCATACAGCTCACGTCCTCTTATGTAACACAAAGTATGCGCTGGTTGATTAGCTGTTGCTCAACTTGCTCTGCTGTTGCTGCGGTGATACAGAGGTGAAAGAGCTGGAGAGAGGAGGAGAGGGGAGGTAGCCTCACGGAAGAAGAAGAAAAACACTACGAATAATGAAAAACTCTCCGTCACTCTGCACGCACGCACGCACAGCTTCTTCCACTGTGGAAGCTCTGTTCGAAGCTTTGGCTTAAATCAGTTTATTTGCTCAGCTCGTCCGCACAGCCTGCACACCAAACTAAAGTTTTCTAACGTGCAGCCTACCTGATATGCCCGCGCCGACCACTATAACGTCGTAGGTGTTGCTGGGTGCAGTCATGTTGCTGGGTGGTGTGTCTTCTTTCCCCTCTTGGCCGTGTCAGCTCCGGATCCAGATACGCACCCTACCGAACGTAGGGTGCGTATCTGGATTAAAAAGCGCCGGGCAAGCCCACTCCCTGCAGAGACCGCCCACCCATAGTAAAGCCCTACCCTGTGGGCATGGAGGGCCATTAGGAAAAAACATTTTATGGACTACTACTACTACTACTACTACTAATAATAATAATACCTGGGGTTTTTTTCATCACCCGACGACAGCTCTTCTCCAGTACTCTGCTACGGATCTTTTGCGGCTCCGTTTTTGCCTGGCTGTCTCTCCACCTGTGGCTCTATACTTCTACCCGGTGTTCCAGATCTACTGGCGTTTAGATCAACTGGCGTTAGTCGAACAGATGTGTGGCAGACTTGCATTTCAGGAGCTGCTACCGACAAACCAGGAAAAAACGCCAAATGTGTCATCTGTGACACTTGTGAGGTTATCTCAAATACACTCCGTCAGTCTTGATGCTGTTGAACAACAAAATGTTTAAAAATATCGCGAGTTTACCTGGTGATATTCTCATGCGCGACGCGAAAACAAACAATTAACACCACGCCGATGTTGTCCACAGGACAGCAAGAGTAAACGATCGGGGGAATCTTGTCGTCGTTATCGTTCCCCTCGCACGTGTTATTACTCCGATTTCAGCGATTTTGCTTCACAACTAAAGCGAGCAGTTTACTTTGTGCGCACTTACATGGACTCGAATCTACCAGCGCCACCTCTGGCCAAGTACCACAGCCTACAGCCAGATCAACTTGTGACACACATCTGCAGCACGTTTGAATTCGTTTCATGCACGATACATTTGTACCTTTCAACTGTGTCTGTTTGTGCGTCATGCAAATAAACCTTTGAACTGAATGAAATGATATCATGTACTTATTTTTGGCCTACATCAGTAAGAAATGCCAAATTATATACACAAAATCATAGAAATCACCACTCCAATTGGTCATCATGATTTTAATATTTTCTTTTTCCATAACAGTGAAATACGCCTTGGACAACTATGACACATCAATATTTCATTAGTGTTGTCACATCACATCCTGTAAGCATCGTCTGCCTGTGTCTTTTCTCTGGAAATGAATATTTTCAGCCAATATAGGCAATCCATCAACATGACTGGAGAGTTAACTCTCCACACTTGTACAGACTGTATATAACTACCAATTGGTAGTTATATACAGTCTGTACAAGTGTGGTTAATGCAATAAACATTTGTAAGGAGGTGGCAGTTACTGTGAATTTACAGCAGTTACACAGTGATCAGTAATAAACAGAGCCAGTGAGAGTGAGTGGATATAACAGAGTCAGTAACTCAGGTGTGTCGATTGGTTTGTCATCTGTTTTTGAGGCTGGAGGAGACGTAGAAATCATTTGTCTTAAATCTAAGTTAGGAAGATTCATGTTTTAAAACAAGCACTTTTTGTCAGAAATGCAAGAAGTACATCTACAGAAAGCACAGTTACATTCTGTCCATCATGTGACAAAATTGAAAATGTTGAACATTGAAAAACTGAGAACATCAGGCAAGTTCAAAAGAATGTGTTTGTAAGAACGAAACCTCGACTAAATTGTTCCTACAAATAGTTATGGAAAGTCAAACTGTGTTGTATGTCTAAATGTTTATCTAATGGAAAGTAAAGTTGCTTTTGTTTTATTGCAGTTTTTTTGTTTTTTTTTGCCTGTCCCGTTTGGCTCTTTTGCCATCAGAATTGTTGTCTAAAGGCAAAGAAAGATGCCCAACGGATTTACTTTACCAAATTGACCATCCCAGCCTTGCCGTAATGGTCCATTTGATTCACCTTTTATTGTTTATTTTATTTTCACTTACTGAATACGGGACAGACTTGACTGGGGGAAAGAAGGGAGAAAGAAAGAGGGAAAGAGAAACAGCTGAGAAGAGGACGGGGAGAAGGGCAAAAAACATAAACCAACAGAATGAGCAGAGAAAAAAAAATGCATATATCGATCACCTGGGTCACCTGCTGAGAAAGAAAAAAGAAAACAAGCAGAACAGAACAAGAGTAATAGAATAAACAACATCACAATGATATATGGGAATATGACAGTAAATACTAAATATTAAACATTATTGTGCAGCACATAAGATCAACAGAACACAGTGTGCTTTGAGGTAGGAGCCAAAAAGGGTGTAGTTTGTGGGTGTGATCACCCGTGTGTACACCTGTGAGCATGGACGCGCTTGTTTTTTAAAAAAAAAAGGTTCCTTCATGTTATGATCTGCTAGAGGGTGTGGGGGGCCACAGCCCCGTCCTCCAGGGCATGAAGCAGGTATGGAGGAGATCAAAACTCCAGACATCCAGAGGCCCCAGAACACAAGAGACCAAGGAAGACCAACAGAGGGCAGCCGCGCCACTGTCCCAGAAAGAGCTGAGGAGAGTCTCAGATGAGGGCTCACTCAGCAGCCGCGGAGCAGAAGCCAGGGGGAGTTGCAGTGACGCGCCCGTGAGCTCCGCCGCAGCCAGCCGTGCCTGAGTGACCGAGACCCAGGCCGAGAGGCCGGGGCACCCAACCTCCGAAGTGGCCCCAGCGAGCCCCAGGCTCCAGGCCCGATAAGCGGCCGCTAAGGAGTGAGCCGGTGTGTACCTGGATGCCCATCCCCGGACACAAAGAACCACCAACGCACCGACACCTGAGGGAGTCCGCCACTGGCAGGGGAAGTGGTGGTAGGGGAGATAGGCCTCCAAACCTTGGAGGGCCTGAGATGTCCCCAGAGAGGTGGCGCCTGACACCCAACCTGACATATAGACACAGACCATACAGGCACACACATATACAAACATCCATTCCACCCTCATGCTCTCATATGCAATTACTCCACACTCAACCAAAGTGGAGACAGACATAAAGAGACGCTGTACACACGATCACACTCCCCAAGCGTACTCTACGAACCGGGTCTAGGTACCCTTGCCCCTGGAGGGGGAACTGCACCCAGACCCAGGTGGTGTTACCCTTTTCCCTGCGGTGGGGGGAGGCAGACCGCCCCGACTCCGCAGCAGCAGGGAGGCCCACACTCCAGACCGCAGTCGGACGGCCAACTCCTCCTCCTAGCCCCCCCGCTCCAGCAGGCTGCAGAGAATGGGGGGTTATTATTGCAGTTTTTTGACAACTCTGAGTGGATTTACACAGTACAGGTCAAAATGACCCGCAACAGAGCTGGCTCTATCACCACGTTTGAACTTGTTTAATGCACAATACATTTGTAACTGTCATTGTTTTCAGTTTTTCTTAAAAAAACCGTTTAATTACATGAAATGCAATTTTGCTTATTTTGATCTTATCATACACTTGAAGATTCCGAAATCAGCACTCCTTTGTTTAGATCATTTTCACAGCAAAGTTCACTGCGGATGTGCCACAATTTAAATCCCATTCTTCAAGTCTCTATCCTGTTTCTGCTGGTGTGCCCCAGGGTTCAGTATTAGGGCCCCTTTTATTCATTCTTTATATGCTTCCTCTTGGTCATATATTCTGAAAATATAATATAAATTTTCACTGTTATGCCGATGACACCCAGCTCTACATTTCTTCTAAACCCAATTCATCCCTCCCACCTCCCTCCCTCTCAGACTGTCTTATTGAGATTAGATCCTGGTTCTCCTCCAATTTCCTCAAACTTAACAGTAATAAAACTGAAGCTTTACTTGTTTGTACACCATCTATCTTAACCAAATCCCACAGTTTTTCCATTAACATTGAAAATTCTCCTACCCTTCCCTCCCCTCAGGCTAAGAGTTTGGGTGTCATACTTGATAATACTCTTTCATTCCAGTCTCACATTAATTACATAACACGGTCTGCTTACTTCCACTTACGTAATATTAACAGACTCCGTCCCTTCCTTACTCCCCATGCTGTGCCATCCTTGTCCATAGTCTTATTACGTCCTGTATTGATTACTGCAATTCCCTCCTATTTGGTCTCCCTAAAAGGTCCCTTCATAAACTCCAACTTCTTCATAATTCTGCAGCTTGGGTCATAACTCGTACTCTGTTAAGAGCTCATATTACCCCAGTTCTTCAGCAACTTCACTGGTTGCCCATAGAAGCCAGGATAAATTTTAAGATCTTACTTCTTACATACAAGTGTATCCATAAATCTGCTCCTTTATATTTGTGTGACCTGCTCCATATCACCACTGTTTCCCGCCCTCTCAGATCATCATCTGCTCTTCATCTTACTGTTCCGTCCTCACACCTTATTACTATGGGGAACAGAGCTTTCAGTCGCTCTGCTCCTCGGCTCTGGAACTCTCTTCCTCCAGCCATAAGAAATATTGACTCCCTCTCCGTATTTAAGTCACAGCTCAAAACACATCTGTTTAAACTGGTTCATTCGCTTTAGTGCTGATTTTATCTGTTGTCAAGTTCTGCTTTGCAATTTTAACTTATTTTATGTATTTTATGACTATTGTTCCTTTTATTCATTTTGTTCTTTGTAAGGTGACCTTGGGTTTCTGAAAGGCGCCCTCAAATAAAATGCATTATTATAATAATAATAATTATTAATAATATTAATAATATTAATAACAATAATATTTTTAAACTTACTATTGACTCAAATTTTACTAAGAAATGAAATACACAAAAACACAATTCATTCATCCACGTATAATAATAATTCATTAATAATTCATTCATTGTCTTTTTCTCCTTTGTACTTTTGTTTTAATCCATCCATTTATTTATTTATTTTTGGCTCTGTGCAAATTTTAGGAAGTCCCATGGCCTGTAGGGAGTTTACTCGTAACTTTTTTTTTAATGAATTTGCATTATTTCTAAAAGCATACATATATTTACTACATTTACTACAGAGTCCTCTCCCCACTCCCCTACCTCCCTCGCTTCCCCCCTTCCTGACACCATGACACCCCCCTCCTCCAATCCCTCTCTCAGCAGCAAGACATCTCCCCCCCTCCCCTCCTCCCCAACATCTCCCAGTGTCACAGTGGATCAGGTCAGGAGACAACTGAGGAAGCTTCGCCCCAGAAAGGCAGCAGGCCCAGACAAGGTGTGTCCTAGGATGCTAAAGGCATGTGCTGCTGAACTTGGGGAGCCGCTACAACGAGTCTTCAATCTCAGTCTGCGACTGGGGAGAGTGCTCGCCCTGTGGAAGTCCCCAAAAGGAACCGGCCCAATGAGCTGAATGACTTCCGACCGGTAGCACTGACGTCACATCTTATGAAGACTCTAGAGCGGCTCTTCCTCAACCTCCTCCAACCACAGGTACAACATGCCCAGGACCCACTACAGTTTGCCTACAAGGCGGGTGTCGGAGTGGAG